TACACACAAAATGTTAGCCGGGGCAGTTCAGTCACTACAGTGGTGAACCTGACGGCCGAAGGGTCAGGGTTCGATTTTCGGCGTGAGCAAGAGATTTCTCTCTACCCAACAGCAACCAGACTGGGTCTCGGGCTTATCCAGCCTCCCATACAAAGTGTGCTGGGGCGCTTTTCCTGGGGGTAAAGCAGCGGAAGCGCAAAACTGATCTGTCACCTTCATCTACTGCCGAGGTCGAGAATGGTGGCTCTATACCCCCACTCCTCCATAAGCTCTCATGGCATCGTGCTTAATAAATTAAGCACAGGACAACTTTACCTTATATTTACAGGTATAATGTTCTTAAGTAAAATTACTTATCTTGGATTTATATGCGGCATTTCATTCATGTTTGCAGGTTTGCACTTTCAAATAAATAATGGCTACAAATTTGGAAATATTAATATCCATATTGTCGATCACAGCGGCCACGCGGTCTAAGGCATAAAATGTCTTCGCTCGCTCAAACACGGGGATCGTGGGTTCGAATCCCACTTGAGGCATGGATGTCTGTGAGCGATTATTCAGTGTTTGTGCTGCCCTGTGTGCAGGCAACGACCTTGCGACGGGCTGATCCCCCGTCCCAGGAGTCCTATCGAATGTGTAAAGGGTCTTGAAACTGACAGGGGGCCAAGGTCCAACAAAGGGCTGTAGAGCCATAGATAGACAATATCCATGCTATAAGTGAAATAGTTCGAACTTTAGAAGATATTAGAATAGCAATTGGACATGATGCGATTAGCCTGTATTTTAGTTATAAGTAATAAGTAGAGAACGATATAAAAATTACTGTCTTATGGAATGTGACGCCGTATGGTTTGGTTGATAAGTACCTCAATATTCAGGGTAGAAGAATAGTGAGACATCAAGTTCTTAAGAAACGTTCTTGCCCATTTACTTGGTAACACGATGTCGTCAGAGAACAGTAACATTCATGTAGGATTTGATTCTCATAGCGATGGTTATGAATTATTCTATCTTTTAGGATATGACACCGTGTAGTCCGGCGGAAGTCAACAGATGTTTCGAAAGCGACATTTTCGTTCAAAACGTCAGTTGATTTTCCAGAATTTAATAATCTTCGCAGGCACGTTCCTGAGGACCACATATAATTAAGATATACAGAAACGCGTTACCTAATGCAAATAGTGAGGAATAAACGTTAAAATGTAGCCGAGCGGTCTAAGGCATGCACTGTCTTCGCTCGCTTGGAAACCGGGATCGTGGGTTCGAATCCCACTCAGGGTATGGATGTTCAATTTGTGTGTGCGTTTTTCTGTGTTTGTGTACAGGTAGAGGCCTTGCGACGAGCTGATCACCCGCCCAAGGAGTCCTACCGTATGTGTAAAATCTAGAAAACCCGAAGTGAACGGAGAAGTTCATGGAGGTAGGCCTAGGCCCACTGGGGCTGTAGTGCCAAGGAAAAACACCGTTAAAATAATGGAAAATATAAGGAGAAATGATTCAAAATCAGAGTATTTAGGGGCAACCTAGGGCAGTGCAGGAGAAATGCAACGGAAGCGGGGAAAAAATTTTCATTTGTACATCTGCGCATGTCTTGAAGGAGTGGGGTACAAGAGGATCAGCTTTTGTGTGCGGCTGCGCAGGTTATTTTACTACGGTGTCGGTATCTAGACTGTACAGCGTGGAATGGCTGAATCACTGATGATTGAAGTGCTGGAAATTATTTGGAAGAAAGCGACAATTATCTGATCGAGGTAATATTCTTGGAATTGCCTGGAGAGACTGAGGAGAAACATGAAAACCCTCACCATAACAGCCGGTGTCCCAATCAAGATTCGAACCGAACACCTCCCGAACACAAGCCAGCTCGCTTAGTGAAAGGGTAGCGGTGAACACTGCAGCAATACGGTTCAGAGCGTGAAGTGTGTTATTTGAGATTTCACGGCATGAATATGCCATTGTGTAGCCTTTTAAGTGGTTACTAATGATTCGAAGGAAGTTGCAGCCTCAGTGTTCATGGTTAAAATGAATATGGAGGCAGAAGTTTCCTCCAAAACCTTTGTAACCATCTACACTTCCTCTAAACAAAGATATAATCCAGAAAAATCTCAATTCAAGGAAAGGGATTAATACAGTAAACAATTTTGCAGAGGGGGAAGGAAATTTTATATATTTAGTGACGAAAACAGAAATAGTTAACATTCTGCAATAAATAAACAGACGCGAGTTAAAATCCAGTGAAAAGAATGCTAGGAATAGAACCAAAGGCTCTGTGATACACAAGTAAAAGGCATCAGTGAATGATGATACTGCTGGAAAATAAGACCAAAAAGAATGAACTTCAATAACAATAGAGAAGAGTTAAAGATCCATTTAGAGAATGCTATATAGTACTGCGTTCAAAAGGAACTGGAAAGAGTCTTGCTTTGTGTAGAAACGGAGTTAAAGGCCGGGGATATCAAATCAGATGTTGAAGTGGAGAAGAGAATTTACCCTGAATAGAGAAAGATTTTGAAAATTTAGAGCCATGAAATACAGTATGCAGTTAAATATTTCAGTTTATGGTATCAATTGTGATCTTCATATTAGAAAAGATACGTAAATATTTATAAAAAAAACAGTGGTATTCAGAGATTGGAATAGTCCTGACTATTGCAACAAACGAAGTTTTCGTTTGATTTCCATTCTATTCTTCCTCGAATTCAGAACCAAGTCCGCACGTTTCTTTGTATTCATCTTCACTGTCGCAGTATTCGGATATCAATGTGTCTAGACGTCTAATTTTCTTGACAGAACTTATTGTAGGTAAATTGAACCGATTTCAGGCATGATGAAATCCTTTAAAAGATGAAAGGGACAGGCTCTCGCCTTCATTTTCGCAGCATTTAGTATCTCCGGTATATGTGGAATGGCACTGGAGGTACTGTTTATGGTAATACACAGTTAATATTTATTTACTTGTGATTTATTTAACGATGCTTTCAGTACTTTTACTTTTTTCGGTATTTCAGACTATCGTTCAATAAAAGATGATCTGCGTGGTCTAGTGGTCGGAATTCCTGGCTAAAGATCCAGAGGTCCGGGTTCGATTCCCAACGCCACCAGATTTTCTGAGTAGTATTGGGTCTGGAACGGGGTCCACTCAGCTTCGTGAGGATAACTGAGGAGCTATTTCAAGTAAACAGCGGCTCCGGTCTAGAAAACCGAAATTAACGGCCATGGGGATTCGTCGCACTGACAACGCGACACCCTCTATCCGCAAATGTTGGCACTAACTTCGCCGACAACCGGCGGTCGCTTGGTCGGTATAGCTCGCTTGTAGACTACAGACCACGGAGTTTGTTTTGTTTTTCTGCGAGAAATTAATTAGAAAATATGTGGAAGAAAGCACTTGTTGGCTAGTTTTAAATATTTGATCAGCATTTTCCTGGAGGGATGAAAAAATCACTAAAATCCTTAATCAGGACACCTGGTCCTGATTAAGGACCCCTTCTTTTACATGGTCACCCCCCATGTAAAAGAAGGAGTGCTGTACACTCGACCGCGACGATTGGTGGAATACAATTAAACAGAAACATTTGGTACTGAAAGGGCTAACGTTTATGTTAGTGGTACAGTAGTTACAATTCACTGATCTGTGCAACACAATTCATTTTGTCTACTTTGGAAACATTCCACGAAATTATACCCAAAATAATTTTATCGGACCCAAAATGAAATGTTTGTCACTTTCAGTGTGAGGGCCTAATCCTTTCACGTGAACAGACAGAAGAATGCAATGAAAATAACATATTCTGTCCGACTTCTTCGAATCAGAGCTCATTGCACACATCTCGTGACATGGAGAATAATGTGACTGTCCTTTGTAAGCAAACAAGATTTCTAAACAAGGCAGTCATCCACGGAATCCACCTAGCCCTCATCATACCAAGTGGTGGTTCTGGTCCTGCATTATCTTCCATATACAGACGGCAAATTTTCCTTGTTACTTTGGGGTCAGTGGTTGGCTGAAGGGAAAAGAAAAACTTGTCCAAATTTGAAATGTAAATGTCAGTTCAAAACTTCATTTCAACCAACATTTGTGCAGAGCAGACATCAAAGAGATTTGCTTGTTCTCAGATTAAACACGAGATTCCTAGCAATTTTTCGTTTCAGGAAGCAGTGAGGCCTCTGAAACTGAAATGCTTTTTATTATATAAATCTTAGTTTCGTAATCTTCAACACAAAAGGCTACCATGTAGTCCTATCCTGAGCGAGCTTAACTGGTTTTACATTTTAATATTGTCCTTTCATCTATGGGAGCCGGGTTAACGTAGTCGGTATAGCGACTGGTTACGGGCTGGACGACCGAGGGTTTGGAGTTCGAGTCCCGGTAGGATCAAGAATTTTCTCTTCTCCACGTCGTCCAGACCGACTCTGGTGCCCACACAGCCTCCTATCCAATGTCTACCGGGGACTCTTTCCCCAGGGGTGAAGAGGCCGTGGCGTGAAGCTGGCCACTCACCTCCAACTAGTGCCGAGGTCAAGAAAATGTGGATCTATTCATCCGCTCTCCCATACGCCTTCATGGCCTAGTGCTTATTTAGTTAAGCATAGGGACAATTATACCTTTACCTTCCATCTATGCTTACGTCTCCCAATTAGTTATATTTGATTTTTTCCGTTTGCTTCCTTCTTGCCAACTATATGTTCTTCCCACTTTAATTTCCTAATTCTCCTAGGCAGATCGCGAATCTTGAAGCTCCAATTTACGTAATCTCGTTTCCGTCCTTTTAACAGTCGACATACAAATATCCACATCACCTTCCTCTCCATTTGACATTAGACAAATTTGAGTTACGATTCATTTCTTGAACAGACCAAGGCAATTCGTTGACAATCATCTTAATGTTTTAATTATCAAGGTTGATGTTTATTCTGTTACTAAAAGGCCCAAGTCGTTTCCATTTCCCTACCACGCTAAATATTCACTTGAAGCGCATGCGTTTGGCACTTTGCAGGTTGGAGCCAGCTAACAGACAATAACACGCCTCCGGTCATCTACTTGGACAGGAATTGGGTCATCCAGAACACGGATCCCGTTGGAGAGGTCATCGCCAGGGTCAAAGCGGAAGACCCAGAAAAGGACCATCTGGAATATGGACTGGAGGCGAAGGGTTACAATGGAGCGGGTTCACCGCAGAGACCCCTGCCCTTCGCCATCAACAGCACCACGGGAGTTGTCAAGATCAACGAGTCACTTATCAACAGGGTCAGTTACCATGACAATCAATTAATTTTCGTGCAGAGAACATCTCTGATACTTCAGCACATTTCAGAACAAATAACATATTGGTTCCAACTTCAGGATTGAAGTAAACGCTGAAGTATGTCCCTCCGAAACATAGGCATTCGGCCATAAAACAGTACAGTATCACAAGCCCGAAGACCACAGTCTTTAACCACAAGGCATGTTCCACACACTACCGGGCACTTCATTGCCTTACACACACCACACACACACACACACACACGGACATACGGCCCACAATACAACAGACGATAAAATATTCTACTTAACCAACAACAGAAAAGAATTCCGTCATATTCCTATTTCTATTCAAGAATTTGTAACTTATTTAAAATGGTTTTACCAATTTACTCTTGATACAAAAAACGTATTTTAACTGTATTAACTATTTATGGTACTACAGCAGCAACATAAGTTCGATCAGCAAAGTATGTTTTGTGTGTGCGTTTAGTCTGTGTTTGTGTTGTCCTGTGTTTAGGTAGAGGCCTTGCGACGAGCTGATCCCCCGTCCAAGGAGTCCTACCGTTTTTTAAATAATCAGCCCTGTGCTTTAAAGTGGAAGCAAGAGGAGAGAGAGAGAGAATGACTTCTGATGGTCAATAATGGTCGAAACATATGAAGGCCAAATTTTTATTTATCCTGATTATTCTTCTTACATTCATGGACTTCTGATATTTATTTGTATAAACACATGTTAGAATTCATAGTTTAGGGGTTCAGACCACTAAAGAACATCTTCGTACAGAGGGCAACACAATACAGAAAAGACCCATGTCCCGAACGAATTTGAAACCGCGACAGGCGTGTATTCTCCAGCCTGTATAAGGCTTATTGTGATATTAGGAAAACAGGAACACAAACTAGATAATATATATGTTCATCAAAAATTCGAAGCCAAAAAAATGAATCAAAAGATGGCACTTGGATCGCCTTGCATTACGAGTGTTTAAAGAATTTTAACAGCTTAAACCGGCAAGGAGAGATAGTCTAACATAAAAGATACTTTATTCTTTCGAAACCAAAGACTTGACAAATGCAACCTTGGAGTGGCATTAAGACGGCGAGTTTCTTTCAAGCATGACGCTGTCTCTCTCTCAAGGCGTAAGCCAATGCAATGTTTAAAATCAAGCGAGCATGAGTTAACGACAATAAGGCAGAGTGAGGCTGGGCCGTGTTTTCTTGTAGCACACAAATCCCGTATACCCTACATCTTTTACTATTCAAGATATTTTTTCTCGTATCAACACCCACATGACCTAAAAATTACATTTACGCCCTTAAGTAATGCGAACCTTGAAATGACGAAAGCCAGCGAAATATACGGAAATACTCTTATAGAAAGTCAGTACCTGTTGCTGGTTTCAAAATATATGCGCACCTGTTTAATAGGATAAAATTTATTAAAGTAAATTAAACAGTAGCACGTGATCATATGCAATAAATCCGTATATACGAGGGTAAGTCAATAAGTAAGTTAGAAATGGATATACAACTTAAAACAAATAAGAGTACTGATTTGAAAAATCCTTTTATTTCTCAACATAATCTCCCTGTACACTGAGGCACTTGTCCCATCGTTTCACAAGCCCCTGAAAACTAGCAACATAAAACTATATTTGGGCTGCTGTCGGAACCAGACGGTAACTTCCCTTTCTACAGCTTCATCGTCGGGAAAATGTTTAGCCGAAAGATGATGTTTAAGAGGGCCGAAAAATGGAAGTCACTTGGAGCAAGACTCACCACCTGTGCCAATTCGGGCTAGCATATCGTGTCCTTCATCGTGGTAGCGATTGAGATGCTGTAATGCCAGACCCATTCTTTGCATTTTGTGTTGTGGCGTGAGCATGCGCGGCACCCAGGATGTTGCGGAGAATATTTGGACCGAAGAGGGATGAAGTGACAGGAAGTTTGAGAAAACTGCATAATGAGGAGCTTCATAACTTGTACTCTTCTCCAAGTATAATTAGAATGATCAAGTCAAGGAGGATGAGGTGGGCATGTAATGTAGCACGAATGGGGGAGACGAGGAATGCGTATAGGATATTGGTGGGAAAGCCAGAAAGAAAGAGACCACAGGGAAGACCAAGGCGTAGGTGGGTGGACAATATTAGAATTGATCTTAGAGAGATATGATGGGATGGTATGGATTGGATTGATCTGGCTTATGATAGGGACCAGTGGAGGGCTCTTATGAACACGGTAATGAACCTTCGAGTTCCATAAAGTGTTAGGAAATTCTTGAGTAGCTGCAGATTTGGCTTCTCCTCAAGAAGGGCTGAGTTCCATGAGTCAGTAAGTGTTTCTCTTTATGGTATCTACATTATCACCCAGTAGATTCACATCATCAGCACAGACCAACAGCTGATGTGTCCCGTTTAATTTCAGTCCCACCTGGTTTCCCTGGACCTTCCTGATGGCATATTCTAAAGCAAAGTTGGAAAGTAGTGGAGATAAAGCATCTCCTTGTCTTAGACCATTCTGGATAGGACAATTATCAGTTTTTTTACCTATAGGGACTTTAGTATACGTTTCTATTAAACACATTTTAATTAGCCTAACTTGTTTCATAGGTGCCCCAAAGTCTATCATATTATTGTACAATACTTTCTTCCTAACTGAATCATAGGCTTAACACATATGCGCAATTGAGGAAAATTGTACAGACCTAGCAAGAAGCATGGAAACAAAACAATGGTCCTACATCCACATACAATTAATTCATTCACTGAGAGTCAAGATGTGAAATCCAAAAGCCGCATAGTTGCTAAAAACCTAACCACTCAGCCACAGCTCTGCATTATGGTAGTCTGAAATTGTATAAACAATATACATTTCCAAAATATTAAAATATTTCCTGAAAATCAGTTCATTTTGTTTTGTGGTGCCAGCCATTTGTGGAAATATAGACATATTAAACTCAAGTAGATCTACTGCTTATCAAACGACAGTACCTAATATTACACATATATCAGGCTAGAATTTAGGCAAATTGTTATGGATGCAATATATATCTTCCTATTTAAAGCCCTCGTTTTAATCTATTTTACTGGATACAAAACTTGACTCTTTAAATTTCGTTTAATTCTCTTCAATAGTAACAGTGCAGTAAAACTAACATGGCTTTGAATTAACCATCAACGAAATAGAAATATTCAATGTACCGTTCTTTGCAAGAAGACTTATGGCTGACGAATGAAGGAGGATTCACTGCCAAAAACATGAATTTTTTATTATGTCATGGATCGTTATCTAAACATATTAATTTGTCGGTGAAAATTATAATATGCAGAACTGGTAATAATATTAACCTTTGTTCATTTATTTCCTTCAGCACTGGCAAACTCCCCAAATTCGCTTTCATTTTGTATTTAGCATTTAATATCATACGGACACTACATTAGGTTCAGACCTTGTCACTTTTCACAGTATAAAATAATACTAAAAAATATGTTGATGTACTCACCGACACCCCAACGTTTATCACGACATGCGATGGTATAAGACAACCATAAATTGCAGTGAAGGTCCTGAAGGAACGTCCATCTCTATCCAGTTCACGTAAAAGTCGTAGGTTCACCATAAAATTCTGTGGTTACTGTCATTGTATTTGACTTCAGTTACAGTTTGTCACAGACCGAATATAAACTGTTACATCGTACTCAACCTCCGTAATGGGTCAGTGAATTTAGGAATCATCATATAAGGTTTTTTCTTATTGCTAGTGGCGTGGGACAAAGTCCCTTGTACTGCGGCCACTTCTTGCCTATTGTACCAGCCTGATGATAGGTGAGGGTGATTTTGGAGCAATTGGTGGAATGAAGATTGGCAGGGGAAACCGAAGTACTCTGATAAAACCTGCCCCAGCGCCACTTTGTCCACCACAAATCCCACTTGACCAGACCCGGGATCGAACCCGGGCCGCCGCGGTGGGAAGCCAGCGACTAACCGCTTGAGCTATGGCGCGGCCATCAAATAAGGTTAATAACCTAAAACAAACTGACGAGTACTATCTTCTGAGACATAACGCCGTGTTATATCCCAGAAGACAGAAATCTTCATAAACACAGCTGTGAGAACCTCAAATCCTTTTAACAAATTATTTTTTCTAAACACAGCTGGTTACTGCATTGAAAATATATTGCCTACTTCTTAACCATATTCCACAACTACCATCTTCTGTGATGCCATTCCATGAAGTTTTGCAAAAGGTACCAACGTCTCAGAGAAAACTATTTCCTCCATAATTTCTTCTTAAGACAGAGGCAGCAGGTTCCTCCGAAAGATTGGTACTTATCTAACTAATTACATGATGTAACATCTCAGAAGACGATAATCATAAAGGCCTAATCACAGCCTTGGGAACCCCAACTCTCACGGTTTTCTCACGCCAACAAGCTAGTCTAACAACGTACACCGAGTCATGTTACGTCAACGACAAACAAATACGTTGCATGTTCATCCACAAGGTAAGACATTTGATAAACCACTGCGAAATAAAACACAAGACACACGCACTTCCATCGCCTCTTTTTTCATAATGAAAACACTACTTTGTAGGTACAAACTCGCCGTTCCTACAATCATAATCAGTCCCATTTCTCTGTTCCTAAAAACAAATTAAACACGGTGAATCGACTGCTCGATTCTCTGCAGTGAATGTGTTCACTAGCGCCATGCGGTTCTTAGCTACACTAGCTTCACTATGCTCTATGGTTGAAGATAACATTATAAAATAGCATTGCACAATTCATACTAGGAAGAACACTGCTTTTCAGTATCAAAGCCAAATTGTATCTCGTAAGTCATGTAAGAAAAAAAAAGAAACTACCTCATTGAACGGTACTTGTTTGCATTCTTGCTTGGCTTACTTTTCGACCCTCAATATGGAGCAGTGTTGCCTTCCGAAACTTCAGTAAACACACCACAATATACACAGTGTGTCCAAATTCTGTTAGGACTGTGTTCATTAAAAATACAAGACGTGAATTATTTTCAAAATTTCACTCTTTTTATTCAAAATAGTCACCTTCTGAATCAATACATAACTGGAAAAGATTGAAAAGTTTTCGAAAACAGTCACTGCACCCCTTTTGTGGAACCGCATTTAAAACTGCGGTACATTCCCTTTGGATGTCCTGGATTGTGCCGTGACAGTCTCCTTTCATCGCCAACTTAACTTCTGGGAACAACCAGAAATCTGCTGGAGCCAAATCTGGCGAATACGGAGGATGATCAAGGACTGTGATCCCTTTTCTGGCCAAAAAGTCTCGCACGATCTTCGATTTATGGGGTGGGGCATTGTCGTGAAGGAGCGACCAGGAACCTTGCTCTCGATATTCAGGTCGAATTCGAAGAATTCTCACCCACAAACGATTGAGGACTCCGAGATACTAATCAGAATTCACTGTTTGACCTTCTGGCAGAAATTCATTTGAATGATTCCCTTGGAATCGAAGAAAACGGTTAGCAGTGTCTTTACTCGACTTTATGCATGCGCAATTTCTTTGGTTTCGGCTTCTTTGGGCTCAACCACGCTGCATTCTACCGCTTTGTGAGAGGCTCATACTGAAAACACCATGTCTCGTCACCAGTAACAATCGATTTTGTAAATTTTGTATCACTTTGGTCCGACCGTAAAATGTCTTTGCGGTGTTCCACTCTGGC